GACCGATAATTTTTAGTAAACCAGGACCTCCCTGATATTGCTGAAGCAGATGAATTTTATACTTACTAACTAGTAATTCGATTAAAAATGTGTAATTTATACTTAATAACAATAAAATTATTTCAAGGTCAACAGACTTATACTTACAATCTAGAGTTATTTAATTAAATGAGTTATTATTTATTTAAATTGAAATATAATGAACTTAATACTTACCGACTAACAGGCGAGTAATTAAGATGTTATTAAAAATAATAAGCGCAAGTACTATTTAATTTTTGATTTATACTCACTCTTTGTTAACGAATATGAATCGATTAGTGAATCTTTACTTAAGATCAACGTAGCCTAATAAACATTATACTTGCAAGCTAGTAATTAGAGAGAATTGATTAATTAAAAAGTAATATAAGTAAATAATTATGGATCTAGTATGTGATACTTACTATCTAAAAGCAATGTGTAAATTAGAGATTCTTTGTTTTTTTTTTTATTCAAAAAAAAGACTAAATACGATATAGCAGACTTCACTCACTCCCTGTCGAATCAAATTTAATATATCTATTAGGAATTTTATTTGTGATGAATTTTTAAAGTAAATGATGAAAATAGGAATACTAAAAAATGTCTAAGGTGTTTTGGACCGAATTATACTAATATTATTATCTTTTGACAAGCAATTATAAATTCGAAAAGGTTTATATTCACCAATCTATTGTAACAGAATTAGTATTGATTTCTTTTTCATCCAGGGGTTCCATTGGTTTCTTAATTAAAATTTAAAGAATAAAAGCTTCGAAATTATCATGCATTTAAAACGAAAATTTAATACTGTAAATTGAGCCCTATTTGGGAAAATCCGTGCGCATCAATATTAGCATTACTGCAAAAAGAAACTTATCAAATTAGTGTGACAGTGAGTCTTTATAAAATGCTCTTTGTTTTGTGTTTTAGATTTACACTTTTCGTGTTTCTTTTAGAAAGAGTATGTGATCAAGTGTACAAAATCCTATTTAATCAAACTTATGTAACATATGTAATGCCATAGTCCGGGTTTTCTCCGAAATTCAATTTTTATAAGCTATATGACGAGATATTATTTTATAATTTATATCAGTGTTTAAAGACATGGAGATAGACAAATATTTTAGGGACAAATCAGCTAATTCGATTGTGCTAAAAATTTTTAAGTCAGAATAATAGAATTACAGAATTAAGATAAAGTATCATAGATAAAAAAACAGAATTTCAAATTTATAAATTTAACTAAAAAATTTGCAATTTTTAGATACGCAAAAAACTTAACCAATGTTAAAAAGAGTCATCATGGAAATAAATAATGCAGAACAATTAATCTGATGTACTTGGATCCCATCCTATAAACAAATAATTTAGATAAAAAAACAGAACCATTAAAAATAAAAAAGGGAATTCAACATACCACCGGCAACAAAATATTCATCCAAGTTATCAAGAATTTTCATATCTTCTTCTTCGATTACAAAATCATATACCTTAGTATTATCAATTATGTGCGTTTTATTTATACTTTTTGGTAATACGACAAAATTATTTTGAAGGCACTATTAAATTTAATATTTTTAACATTATCTGAAACACTACAATTCTTAATCAATATAATAAATGACAATTTATATGCTTACCCAACGGATCAAAATTTGAGCAGCAGATTTATTATATTTCTCAGCAATTTTAACAAAAACACGAACATTTAACTTTTTTCCCCTGGTAAGAGGAGAAAAGGCCTCCACAATAATTTTATGCTCAGTGCAATAAGATATAATTTCTTTTCGATTATTCCAAGGATGAACCTAAAAGTTGTTATAAATTTAAAAGAAAATCATAACAGTTGTTGATATAAAGAATTCTGATTTACTTCAATCTGGTTAACAACAGGTATAATTTCAGGATTAGTATCCATCAACTCCTTTAGATGTTTTACACTATAATTTGATACTCCGATACTTTTAACATTTCCTCGCTTAACTAATTCTTGTAAAGCCCTATAACTTTCTATATGTTTTTGAGAGCCAGGCCTAGGTGAATGTATTAGCAACAAGTCGATATAAGAAGTTTGAAGTTTTGATAAAGAAGTCTCCG